TTTAAAACGGTACTTATTATAATATCATGACAAATAATAATAAACAAAGTTATTTTTAAAACTATTAAAAAAAATAAAGAAAGAAAGATATCTGGATGAGTTCTAGTCCTGAACCTTCCCAGAACTTGCTGAATGCCTCAGTGATCAAGTCCATTTCTCTATCTGGGCCTTGGTTTTGTTTCCTCATCTGTAAAAGGAGATAGGGATCTAAATGAGTTCTAAAATCCCTTTCCACTAAAAAATTCAAGGATTCTATACCTGGAATTAGCCCTGGTGGCACAATGGTTAAGAGCTCTGCTGCTAGCCAAAAGGTCAGCAGTTCAAATCCGCCAGCCACTCCTTGGAAACCCTATGGGGCAGTTCCACTCTGTCCTGTAGGGTCGCTATGAGTCAGAATCGACTGGAGAACAATGGGTTTGGTTGTTTTTTTTTTGTTTTTTGTTTTGGTATACCTGGAATTAGTACAAGATCACTGTATTACATAAATATATTTATTCACCACCCGACCCACAGAACACTTAATTGTGCTCGTGAGGAACCTGTACATAGATCAAGAGGCAGTCGTTCGAATAGAACAAGGGGATACTTCATGGTTTAAAGATGTGTGTCAGCGTTGTATCCTTTCACTATACTTATTCAGTCTGTATGCTGAGCAAATAATCCGAGAAGCTGGACTATATGAAGAAAAACGGGGCATCGGGATTGGAGGAAGACTTATTAACAACCTGCATTATGCAGATGGTAGGTGATACAACCTTGCTTGCTGAAAGTGAAGAGGATTTGAAGCACTTACTGATGAAGATTAGAGACTACAGCCTTCAGTATGGATTATACCTCAACAAAAAGAAAACAAAAATCGTTAAAACTGGACCAATAAGCAACATCATGATAAACGGAGAAAAGATTGAAGTTGTCAAGGATTTCCTTTTACTTGGATCCACAGTCAACACTCATGGAAGCAGCAGTCAGGAAATCAAATGACATATTGCATTGGGCAAATCTGCTGCAAAAGACCTCTTTAAGTGTTAAAAAGCAAAGATGTCACGTTGAAGACTAAAGTACACCTGACCCAAGCCATGGTGCTTTCAATCACCTCATATGCATGCGAAAGCTGGACAATGAATAAGGAAGATCAAAGAAGAATTGACGCCTTTGAATTGTGGTGTTGGTGAAGAATATTAAATATACCACAGACTATCTAATGTAATGCGCTGTCTGATTTCTTGACTGCTGCTTCCGTGGGTGTTGATTGTGGATCCAAGTAAAATGAAATCCTTGACAACTTTAGTCTTTTCTCCATTTATCGTGATGTTGCTCATTGGTCTATTTGTGAGGATTTTTGTTTTATGTTGAGGTGTAATCCATACTGAAGGCTGTGGTCTTTGATGGATTGACACAGTGGCTGCAACAGTGGGCCCAAACATAGCAACGATTGTGGGGATGGCGCAGGACCAGGCAGTGCTTCATTCTGTTGTACACAGAGTCACTATGAGTCAGAACTGACTCATTGACACCTAACAACATCCCCACTCCCAGCAGCAGTCTTTCTATAAGGACTATAAGCTCTATTAGTTAGAGCTAACACTAATGAGAAGAAAAAAGCCTAAGTAGCTGCCTGACTTTTACCAGAGAATAATTGAAAATTTCAGGCACCCAAAGGCTCTAGCAGGAGTGGCTCCTTAGGATTACTGATTAAAAAGAGGGCTTCATTGCAGCCTATCCCATCTCAGAAGTTTTCCCTAATGCTTATATCCCCAAGGAGGAGCAGGGAACTGGAAGGAACATTCAAATTGGTTTTCCCAAGTCATAGGATAGCTATTGTGACTTGCAGTATGTCTGTTGTTTCTTTTTTTATTTTATGTTTTATGGTGCAGTCTAATCTTTATCTGAAATGTTGGCTTTGGGAATGGTTTTAGTTCTGGGTTAACAGAGAGTCCGGGGGCCATGTCTTCTGGAGTTCCTCCAGTATCAGTCAGCCCATTAAGCCTGGTCTTTTTACGTGAATTTGTGTTCTGCACCCCACTTTTCTGCTGCTCTGTCAAGGACTCTTCGAATGTCTGTTTTTAACAGATAATTTGCTCACAGGTGTATCTGGATTTTTTTAGGAGGGAAATAATTACTAACATTGATAATGAAGATAAATGCTAAGGAATAGAACTTTAATATAAGGCTAATCATATTTCAAAGAATGAAAAACTATAATTCTTTCAAAAAAGCTGAAATGACACACACACACCCTAACTGCATTTGGCTACCCAGAACAAAGCAGGAAAGAGTCAGAAAATGGAAATACACAGAAGAGGATAATAACCTTGAGGATTTAACCCAGTGGTCCCAAACTTTGCTGTACATTAATCATATGGGGAGCTTTTAAAAACCCCAATACCTAGGTTGCACTTCATACCAATTAAATCAGATGGTCTGGGGGTGAGAACCAGGTAGTTTTTTTTTTTTTTTTTAAAAAAAAAAAGATCCTCAAGTGATTGCAATGTGCACCAAGGTTTGGGAACCACAGGTTTAGCCTAACAGTAGCTGTAAGTTGGAATCGACTCCACAGCAATGGGTTTGGTTTTGGGTTTATACGGAAATCATCATCTCTCCCTGAAGGCTCTATTGAATGAAGAGTAAAAGGTAAGGAAGCCTCTGAGGACCTGACATTACTTATTAGTTAAATTAATATCCAAGGTAGGAATTCTAAATATTAGAAAAGGGTAGATCTTCCTTGAGACCATGGACTTTGTTCTTGCTTTAAAGGCATCTCTTTAGGAGATTTATCTTCAAATAAGAGACAACACTGCTGAGGAGAGGGAAAAGAAATAGCTCCAGAATTTCTTTAAATTTTTTTTTCTTCCATTTTAAATTTTATTTTGTTGTTGAGAATATACCCAGCAAAACATACAGCAATTCAACAGTTTCTACGTGTACAATTCATTGACATTGATTATATTCTTTGAGTTGTGCATCAATTCTCACCCTCCTTTTCTGAGTTAAGGAGGTAGTGCAGTGGTTAAAGTGCTTGGCTGATAATCAAAAGGTCAGTGGTTTGAACCCACTAGCCACTCCTTGGAAACCCTCTGGGGCAGCTCTACTCTGTCCTATAGGGTCGCTGTGAGTCAGAATCAACAGGTAATGGGTTTGGTTTTGGTTTGGGGTGGGACCAGAAAATATGCATTTTTAACAGCTTCCCAGGAGATGCCTATGTTACTGGTCTAGGGACTGCACTTTGAAAATGACTACATTGAGTGTTTTTTGTTCTTGATGCTTTAGGCTAAAATATAAAAGCTTGAGCTTGAAACAGTCTTCCTACATGTTGAAAGATACCACTCCTAGAAGGCAGGGTGGTACAAATACTTCTTTGTTAACACTTTAAATGTATTTTTTACATTTACATTTTTTACAAAGTATAAGATGAAGACAAGATTTTATTAATATACAGTGATTAACCACCTTACATGACTAGATTTCTTTTAATTTAACAGTACAAAAATCCTCAAACTAATAGGTATCAAATATGATCCTATTGGACACAATGTGTTAGTGTATACAAGATTAGGTTAAAAGTGCATCTTTTACCAGTTAGTACAAGAGACTACATTTCTACTACACAGTAATAAATGCACGGGTTGTACAAGCTACCTTGAAAACTACTTCAGTTGGTTTCTCAGGAAGCTTTTCTAAACAACTCTTGTTCTCCATAAGTGTTCTGATATTTTACAGCTGTAGTCTTACAGCTATGGCAAAAGAAATTCACAATAACCAAACTATGGGATGCAGTGGATTCTACTGTATCTGGCACACAAGTGCCCATTGAAATTCTAAGAAGAAAGCACTGTTTAAAAACACTTAAACAAAATTTCTTATTTTGCTACCAAGAAAATCTCAAAACGTGAGCCTGTAAGCAACTCATAGTTCTGTTTAGAGTATTATTCAATGATACATAAGTTTCTCCTTCCACTTCTGCAACATCATCATCTTCCTTACCCACTTTTTTTTCGTAACTAGCACTTGGAAACCTTCAGAGTCATTTTCAGGCATCAAATGTATCTCCAGTGAAGTATAATACCAATTTCAGGATTATATGATCATGGAAAAGGCACTCTGACTGAAAATATTCATCAGTTTTAGCTCTAGCATCCTCACATAGCATTCCAAACTCAGATATTTCAGGAATACAAAATTAATTGAAAATAGAATCATTGGAAGTTCTTCTGTACACTGTTCTAGAAGTTCTACTTCACTTGCTATTTTGCTACTTAACAGTTTACTGACCCAGATGTATATGTTTTAGACAACACCTCGTTTGAGAAGTATTTATTGGGTTCAAGGAGAAATTGTATCACGAAATTCAAGGCTCACCAGGATCTGAGAACTTGAGTTGGATATCTTTCAGGTGCTCTAAAATTGGTTCATTATGTTTCTGAAATACGTTCCTGAGCATCTGCATAAGAAGTTTTTAACAAAAAATGAGGAATTCCTTTAGGGCAACTTATCTTTAGACGCATGCACCTATCTGGGAATGAAATGGCTGGAGCGAAGGGCAGAGGGACAGACGGTCCTGGAAAGCAGATTGCGGCTGTGAATGCTACACTAAGGGGTGTGCCCTTTGTACTGAAAAGTAGGTCTTCTGCCTCCGTAACAAACACATATTCTTTCCACCACCATTTCCTTACCACTTGTCTGGCTCAGTGCCCTCACTTCCTACCCAAACTGGTGAACTTTATTCATCAGATCATGTACTTATTCCTTTAACAAACTTATTGGGTGCCTCTTCCTGTACCACTGCTGTGTCCCCTTGGAACACTCATTTGTACCTGCTGCCCATTTGACACATGAAACCAAGATGGCAGAACTGTCCACGGTCTCCTTCCCAGTGCCTTTCCCACCCCATCATTCCTGTGCCCTTCTGGGGGTTTGAACAAGACCTCTGGCAGCCGGCCCCTCCCAGCTACATACAGTGTCGGTGTTCTGCCATATTTGCCAAGACCCTAGTTCTTACTCAATCATCTCGTCTCCAGTTGCGTCCTCCACTTGTCAGCGGGGCTGAAACACGACATGAGGACTGCTGCCATCATGAAGCCTCTGGCACAGAAGTGTGCACCTGGAGCCTGTTTTTTGTGCTGGGAGATGGAGTGGGCATTGGGCTGGCTGTGGAGGAAGCTGTTGACAGGGAGTGGAGAGGACCCCAGAGGAAATGGCTCTCTGGCCATGGCAGCAGCCAGCTCCCCTGGTGGCGGGAGTTGGCTGCAAGTCCCTGGGAGGGGGACCTGGTTGACACCAGCAAACAGAGGAGAAAGGAAAAGGCTGAGCAGGTGTGCCCTCAGGAAATACCTGAAGCAAAACCGAGGAGGGGGGGTCTTCTCCAGTCCCACACTGGGGCTCTCCTCACTGTAAGTATGTGACCTCAAAGTCCATGGGACTGTCTCCATGGCCTCTGTCGTCTGCTTGGACCTGCGTGCGTGGGGATGCAAACCCATCCAAGAGCCCACACTCCCTATCTCTGATGGGTGGGAGTGCCCGTCACCAGGGTCAGGGGAGGGAGGGGAAGGACCCGAGTCCACAACAACCTGAGGAGGTTACCATTTTACCTTGGGATGGCAGGGAACACTCCTGGAATACCAAGCCAAAGCGCTCCTTTACAACTGGCTCAAAACTCACCACCTCCAGGAAGCCTTCCTTTCTGTATCTGCTCCCTCCAAACACATCTTTGATGTAGTGAAAAACAGGTGAAATTGTGCACTACAAGTTAGTAAGTAAGCACAAGCAAGCAAGCCCGTGCCTGCCTTTCTTATTGGGTAATCCGTCCCTGCACCCCAGCCCCAGAAAGAGGGAAGCCAGAAAAGGGAGAGTGGGAGAGGAAGAGTCAGGAGGAGAGTGATGGTCAGCTGTGAGGGGAGGGGGCAAGCAGGCCAGCAAGTATTGACTCCTCCCTTCCCATCCTGTCCTGAAGTTTTTTCTTTTGTAGCACCACCTATATGAAAAACTCATAGGCAAAGTAGTAAAGACATAGCACTTTCACCACAGAGTTGGTTTGTTACTTGGCTGGATCTCCATGAGGCAAACCACCCTAAATGTTGATCCAGGTTCACCAGAAGTTAGTTAACTCTGCCTGTCCATCTCCTTCCCCTTTATTCCATCCCCCAGACACACCAAACACTAAAGGAGAACTCTCTTCGGCTGCCTGGACTGTAAACCTAATTCATTTTGTTAGGAGACCCAGAAGTGACAATTTTTTTTCCCATAGTAACAACAAAACTGTTTTAAAATGAAGAGGTTTTTTTTTTTTAATGCCTAGAGGCACATTCTGACTAGTTTTCAGCTTCTTTGTAGCTTCTGTGATTTTTGCTGTATGCAAAACAAATAAACACAATAAAATCTTTTCCGTAGCCTGTCTCAGTCTGTGACATTGGGAGGGAAATCAAATAGACTATTGCTAACTCAGTCCTGAGGGTTGTCGGAGAAGCAGAATGTTCTTAAGAGGAGTTGTGCTGACCCTAACTGGCCTCCACACAGGTGTGCTTTATCAAGCTGATGGCCTCCAGGTGGGTGTTTGTATGGGGAGGCGTGGTATTGAAGAGGAGGTTTTTATGCGTATAAATATCTGGGAGCAAAGAAAGAGACCAGTGGTGGGGGGGTTGCAGTTGGGGTGAGCAGAGAGGGCAAGATGGCTGGTGGTTGTACCCCAGCCTGGCCCAGAGACTAGGTCCAAGCCCTAGAACAAGATGGGCCACTGGAACCAGCCATTTTCAGAAGCCAGGTGCCACACTGGGCTCCGATAACAAAATGTAACACGGAGTGACGAAGGGGAGGGTGTGATAGACCAGAAATTTAACCTGGCTGCATATAACATTCTAACACTTGCAGGGTTCAGGCCAAGAGTTTCAGTTAGGAGCTCACATGTCATATGCCTAAATATTTGAAATATTTAAATCAACCGATAAACCATTAAATAAAGTAAGGGATATCTCCTTCCATGACGAATGTACCTCCATAACGACCTGAAAGGCCAGGCTGGGATTTATAATTCTTGTACTCCTCTAAGTCCTGCTCCAGTGAAGAGGAAGAGCTGCTTCCCTCCACCCTCTTTATGCATCCACCCCTGGCCTAGCCCCAGCCTAGGCCCAATCCCCTGTTCCTAGAATACTGCCACCCATTGGCCACTCCTCAGGCCTAGGGGTGCATACTCCAGCAGTGCAGTCAGCCCTCTAAAGGCCAGACCCAGGAAGACGAGCATGCAGCCCTTGTAAGCAGGCTTGGGATCTTTCAGGCAGGGAGAGGAGTCCAAAGTACCTAGAGGAGCCCTGGTGCATTGGTTAGGAGCTACAGTTGCTAACCAAAAGGGCAGCAGTTCAAATCCACCAGCTGCTCCTTGCAAACCCTATGGGGCAGTTCTACCCTGTCCTATAGGGTCGATATGAGTCAGAATCGACTTGACGGCAATGGGTTTGGTTTTTTGGTTTAGGTACCTAGAGCATAATCTAAAGGGGGCATATTCCCTTGTTCTCATGGACTGGGCTCCTGGCCTTGTGGGGACGGGTGTGGCTAAAAGAGGGCCAAAGTGGGGCCTCTAAATTGTGAAGCTCAGGACAGAGGCCCCTCTTGCCTGGGTCTAAGAGCGATACTATATTAGCAACTAGTACGGTATAAACACTAACAAAATCATGACCAATTTGAAGCCCCTCAAATCATACTACTTTGCCTGGCCTTTCAGTTCAAGTAATGGTGACAAGGGGCTCTGTGCCTTCTGTCTCACCATGTGGTTCTGTTGTTAAGTGCCGTCAAGTCAGTTCCGACTCATAGCAACCCTATGTACAACAGAACGAAACACTGCCTGGTCCTGTGCCATCCTCACGATCTTTGCTATGTTTGAGCCCACGGTCACAGCCACTGTGTCCATTCATCTCACTGAGGGTCTTCCTCTTTTTCTCTGACCTTCTACTTTACCAAGGATGATGTCCTTCTCCAGGGACTGATCCCTCCTGAAAACATGTCCAAACTATGTAAGACGAAGTCTCACCATCCTCACTTCCAAGGAGCACTCTGGCTGTATTTCTTCCAAGACAGACTTGTTCCTTCTTCTGGCAGTCCATGGTATTTTCAATATTCTTCTCCAACTGATTCGAAGGTATCAATCCTTCTTCCATCTTCCTTATTCATTGTCCAGCTTTTGCTTGTAGATGAGGTGATTGAAAATACCATGGCTTGGGTCAGGCCCACCTTAGTCCTTAAAGAGACACCTTTGCTTTTTAACACTTTAAAGAGGTCTTTTGCCTCAGATTTGCCCAATGCAGTGCGTCGTCTGATTTCTTGACTGCTGCTTCCATGGGTGTTGATTGTGGATCCAAGTAAAATGAAATCCTTGACACCTTCAATCTTTTCTCCGTTTATCATGATGATGCTCACTGGTCCAGTTGTGAGGATTTTTGTTTTCTTTATGTTGAGGCATAATCCATACTGAAGGCTGTAGTCTTTGATCTTCATCAGTAGGTGCTTCAAGTCCTCTTCAGTTTCAGCAAGCAAGGTTTTATCATCTGCATAATTCCCATTCCTTGCAATGTTATCCATAATTTATTATGATCCACACAGTCGAATACCTTTGCATAGTCAATAAAACACAGGTAAACATCTTTCTGGTATCCTCTGCTTTCAGCCAGGGTCCATCTGACATCAGCAATGATATCCCTTGTTCCACATCCTCTTCGAACCCAGCTTGAATTTCTGGCAGTTCCCTGTTGGTGTATTGCTGCAATCGCTTTTGAACGATCTTCAGCAAAATTTTACTTGTATGTGAAATTAATGATATTGTTCGATTAATTTCTGCATCGTTGGATCACCTTTCTTTGGAATAGGCATAAATATGGATCTCTTCATTCGGTTGGTCAGGTAGCTGTCTTCCAAATTTCTTGGCATAGACGAGTGAGCACTTCCAGTGCTGCATCTGTTTGTTGAAACATCTCAACTGGTATTCCGTCAATTCCTGGAGCCTTGTTTTTTTGCAGCCACTGTGTCAATCCATCTCATTGAGGGTCTTCCTCGTTTTTGATCACCCTCTACTTTACAAAGCATGATGTCCTTCTCCAGGGACTGAACCCTCCTGATAACACGTCCAAAGTACCGGAGACAAAGTCTCGCCATCCTTGCTTCTAAGGAGCACTCTGGCTGTATTTCTTCCAAGACAGACTTGTTCATTCTTCTGGCAGTCCATGCTATATTCAATATTCTTTGCCAACACCATGATTCAAAGGCTCAATTCTTCAGTCTTCCTTATTCATTTTCCAGCTTTTGCATGCATATGAGGTGATTGAAAATAGCATGGCTTGGGTCAGGCTCACCTTAGTCCTCAAAGTGACATCTTTGCTTTTTAACACTTTAAAGAAGTCTTTTGCAGCAGATTTGCTCAACGCAACGCGTTGTCTGATTTCTTGACTGCTGCTTCCATGGGCATTGATTGTGTATCCAAGTAAAATGAAATCCTTGACAACTTCAATCTTTTCTCCTTTTATCATGATGTTGCTTATTGGTCCAGTTGTGAGGATTTTTGCTTTCTTTACATTGAGGTGTAATCCATACTAAAGGCTGTGGTCTTTGATCTTCGTCAGTAAGTGCTTCAAGTCCTCTTTGTGTTCAGCAAGCAAGGTTGTGTCATCTGCATGATGCAGGTTGTTAATGAGTCCTCCTTCAATCCTGATGCCCCATTCTTCATAAAGTCCAACATCTCAAGTTATTTGCTCAGCATACAGATTGAATAAGTATGGTGAAAAGATACAACCCTAACACACAGCTTTCCTGACTTTAAACCAGGCAGTATCCCCTTGTTCTGTTCAGACAACTGCCTCTTTGTCTTCTTACAGGTTCCTCGTGGCATTCCCATTCTTCACAATGTTATCCATAATTTGTTATGATCCACACAGTCAATAAAACACAGGTAAACATCTTTCTGGTATTTTCTGCTTTCAGCCAAGATCCATCTGACATCAGCAATGATATCCCTTATTCCACGTCCTCTTCTGAATCTGACTTGAATTTCTTGAAGTTCCCTGTTGATGTATTGCTGCAACTGCTTTTGAATGATCTTCAGCAAAATTTTACTTGCATGTGACATTAATGATATTGTTTGATAATTTCTACATTCTGTTGAATCACCTTTCTTTGGAATGGGCACAAATATGGATCTCTTCTAGTCAGTTGGCCAGGTAGCTGTCTTCCAAATTTCTTGGCATAGACGAGTGAGCACCTCCAGTGCTGCATCCATTTGTTGAAACATCTTAATTGGTATTCCATCAATTCCTGGAGCCTTATTTTTCGCCAGTGCCGCCAGTGCCTTTCATTACCATCGGTTCTTGATCATATGCTATGTCCTGAATGGTTGAACGTCAACCAGTTCTTTTTGGTACAGTGACTACATCTGCTTTTGATGCTTCCTCCGTCTTTCAATGTTTTGCCCATGGAATCCTTCAAAATTGCAACTTGAGGCTTGAATTCTTTTCTTCAGTTCTTTCATCTTGAGAAATGCTGAGCATGCTCTTCCCTTTTGGTTTTCTAACTCCAGGTGTTTGCACATTTAATTATAATATCTTACTTTGTCTTCTTGAGCCATCCTTTGAAATCTTCTGCTTAGCTCTTTTACCAATTTTTTCAGAAGTAGACAGCCAGGTCCTTCTTCCTAGTCTGTCTTAGTCTGGAAGCATCACTGAAACCTGTCCACCAAGGGTGACCCTGCTGGTATTTGAAATATTGGTGGCAAAGTTTCCAGTACCACAGCAACACGCAAGCCACCACAGTATGACTAAGTGACAGATACGTGGTGGCATGTGGTTCTAGCCATAAGAAATACTAATACACTTTAAATTGTCAACACTGGTGACAAAAAAGCAGGGGGGGATAGGTGGAGGGACTGAAGAAGCTTATATTTTTCTTTTTATAGACGTTAATTGAGCACATACTAAGTGGAAAACTCAGTGCCTAGGGCTTTGAGAAAGATAAATAAAACCCTTTAAGGTTCCACCCACTCAGAAGTTCATAATCTAAGGGGTGGGGTGGGGGTGAGTAGATACATATATATATATATAATGCTAATATAAATTAGAATATGGGATGTGCTACCAGAGAATATGAGAGAAGAAAATATTAATGCTACTGAGAGCACCTAGGAAGCGTTAACTAAATGTGGCAATGAGGCTGTGTAGCCTCAAACCCCTGGGCCCTTCCTCTTCTCTGATCCTCTACTCTGGTCAACTACAACTTCACCTTTTTTTTTTCTTTCTTAAACAAATTCCAGAGTCCATTCTCTCCCTCTACTTTTCTCACTTCTTTTTGGGAGATATTTCAGACCTACACAAAGTTACAGAGAATACTCTTAGAAACATCCATGTACCTACCATCCAGCTTAAGAAATACAACCTTACAAATACAGTTGAAGCCCACTGTGCACCCCTTCTCTTTCTCCAAGAGGTAGCCACGATCCTAAATAAGGTATTTATATTTTTCCCACACATGCTGTTATGCACGCTACATTTGTATGCATCTCTCATAGGCATGCTTTTTACTCTATATATGTATCCACAGTCAACAGATGGTGATCATTTGTTTTAGACTTCAGATACATGGTATCATAATGTTTGTATCCTTCTGGAGCCAGCTTTTCCCCTTTTGCATTTTTCTGCTGCCATAACCCAGTCTTTGCCCTCAGGGTCTCAGCCCCCTGTGAGTTGTGGTCGCCTCCCCAGTCCAGCCTTTGCAGTCCTGTTTATCTTCAACAGTGCCAAGCCAGTGAATCAAGGCTGGTCCTACCATAGGTGAGTCTCAGCTTCTTGGTCTGTTCTTCTAAACCAGTGGTTCTCAAACCTTGCACTGGTTCTCAAACCTTGCACATCAGAAACCCCTGAAACCCGTTGCCCTCAGAGTCAATTTCTACTTATAGTGACCCTATAGAGGACGGAGTAGAACTGCTCCATAGGGTTTCCAAGGCTGTAATCTTTATGGAGGTAGACTGCTACATCTTTCTCCTGTGGAGCGGCTGGTGGGTCTCAACCACCAGCCGTTCAGTTAGCAGCCTAGTGCTTAACCACTGTACCACCAGGGCTTCTTGGATCCCCTGAAGGGCTTCTTAAAACAGATTGCTGGACCCTACCCCAGAGTTTCTGATTCAGTGGGTCTTGGGTGGAGCCTGAAAATGTACATTTCTAACAAGTTCCCAGGTAATGCTGATTGTTGCTATTTTGAGGACCACACTTTGAGAACCACTACTCCAACTCAAAGCCTAGGTCCAGGCTCAACAGCACCATATGGCCTGCAGGCAAGCTAGGTCATCCATAAGATTTCCTTCCAAACACGCTCTAGAGCAGCACTGTCCAATACACATATAATGTGAATCACATGTATAATTTAAAATTTTCTAGTAGCCACATTAAAAACGTAAAAAGAGACTGGTAAAATTAATTTTATACTATATTTTCTGTAACTCAATAAGTTATTTCAACATATAATCAGGATAAAAATTGTGAGTTTTTTTTTACACTTATAATACATCTCAAATGGAACTAGTCACATTTCAAGTGCTCAGTAGCCACACATGGACAGCACAGATCTAAAGGCTAGAACTCCATCTCTCTTTACAAAGATTGTTTTAAACTTGACATTTTAATTTATTTGGGGCTGAAATAAAATAATTTAAAAGAGGCTTGCGAAATGGTAGAAAGTGTCTTTTTCAATGAAGATAAGGTGGGCCAAAGAAAAGAGAGGTAAAAGAGATTTGAGTCAGGATTATTTATCTAAAACAAAAAACTGCTCATATTTCAGCTTATTCCTTTAAAACAAACCTTTATTTTAAACTTGAACAAATGCTGCCAAACATATCTGTAAAGGTAAGAGAAAAGTCAGATGTCACTGGATATCACTTTCGGGGTGATGAACTTTGTATTAAAATCAGTGTTGATAAAATTCCCTTGGGCTTCAGGAAAATGAAAAAAACTTAAAAACAGTGAAGAATGGATTCAAGCTTCTTCGTCCTTTGATTTCTATTCGTATCAACTGCAGGATAAAATGAAAGAAAATTAACAATTATACAACATTAACTAGCACCTGTGACTTCCTATATCTAAGAAAACAGCCCTATGCATGTCTGCTGCATCTGTGTGCTGTATCTCAACAAGGAGAGAAGACGAACACCCTTTCCTCTTGTAACTTGCACCCTTGGGTATCAGGGTGCTTGTGCATCCCATGGCTTCAGTCACCATCATATACCAGCCTCATCTCTCTCTTGCCCAACACCATAAATGCTTGTTTTGTTGTTGTTGCTTGCTTTTTTCTTGAGAGACCATTCTGGGATAGAAATAAACCTCTCCTTAAAAACCTGTGCTGGTTCTACCAACGATACTCCCTCACCCTCCGAGACCCCCAGTTCCCACAACTATTGTATGGGAAAGAGGCTCTTATTATGAAACCCACAGCTGTGAAAATGCAAAAAGAAAGAAAAATGTTAATCATTTAAATATACACAAAGACATCCCTTAAGATTTAATGACCAATTCAGCGATAAACAATAATCGTACTATGACTCTTTCCTTTTGACTGTCACATAAAACATGAAAATCTAAAACTGAACAAATATTTAGATATTAATCATTAAATGTGGTCCTACTTAAAATTTTTAACTTTTTGCTATTTGTTAGTCACCTTCTAAAAGGCACCGTCTCCTTGTTAGTATACCCAAATCATTGCGGTCGAGTCGATTCCAACTCATAGCGCCGCTAGAGGACAGAGTAGAACTGCCCCCTAGGGTTTCCAAGGAGCACCTGGTGGATTCCAAGTGCCAATCTTTTGGTTAGTAGCCGAGCTCTTAACCACTACGCTACCAGGGCTCCACTAGTTAGTATGTTGTTGTTGCTGCTGTTTTTAGGTGCCATCGAGTCAGTTCCGACTCACAGCGACCCTATAGGGCAGGGCAGAACTGCCCCATAGGATTTCCAAGGAGCGGCTGGCGGATTTGAACTGCCGACCTTTTGGTTAGCAGCTGAGCGCTTAACCACTGCACCACCAAGGCTCCCTAGTTAGTATAGGAGACTGCATTTCCATGGCCAAGAGACGAAGGCCCAGGTAACGCATGGCCCAGCTGCTTTAGCTGCTTCTTCTGATAACCGTTTTCTAAACAAAAGTGGTCTCCATTACTAGAGCTGATACATTTACCACCTGTTAGTAGTCTCACAGGTGGCGGACAAAGGACATCACAAGGACAAACAAGTAGCCATGAAGCATATTTCAGACATAGTACATTTTATATTATTAGGGACATGAGTATTCTATTAACATTCTAAGTAAGTTAAACTGAATTTTAAAACTTATTTTAAACAAACTTTTTATTTAATTTACTGGGAGAATTAAAAAATAAAGGTCTCAGTAACCAGTAAATACCAGGAATGGTTGGGTGATATTCAAGGCTACCTGGATTCAAAGCTACTATAAACCCACACAAACCCACTGTCGGCGAGTTGATTCCGACTCACAGCGACCCTACAGCAGAGTAGAACTGCCCCATAGGCTGTAATCTTTACGGAAGCAGATGGGCACATCGTGTGCCTGTGGAGCGGCTGGTGGGTTTGAACCGCCAACCTTTCAGTTAGCAGCCGAGCGCTTAACCACTGCGCCACGAGGGCTCCTTAAAGCTACCACAGATACCTGTATTGGCCGGGCCTTCCTTCTGCTGGGTCCAGATCCTTTTTGGGTTCTTGTTCTTCATTTTTGTTCTCCTTTTCCTCCTCTGCTTCTTTCTCTTCCTCACCTCCTGCTTTTTGGGCCCCTTCGTCAGAGTTTTCATGCTGATACTGAGTCGCTTCTTTAGTGAAAAATAGTATAGATTTTGGAACCAGGTATTCATAGAAAAAATATTCCAATTCATAACCAGTAGTGACATCACCTTTCTACTGGTTGACACAGCACTTCCATGGCCCTTACACATTTCTGCTGCTTGATAGTTTTCACAGTGACATTATTTCCTTCTTTCCAGAAAATTTCACACCCTATGCTGCTGAGTATTTCTGGCCCTTTGGAGAAGAAAGGATCAGAACTATTGGGGTCTGACTGCATTTTGTATGTTTTGGTCAGATTTTGTTGGGAAAGTATTCATTTGCCTCAAAGACCACTTCTATGGTGAAGGTCATAGTTCCTCAACCCCCTGAATATTTAATTTTTAACAAGTGCTCTCATATCAGTTCATCATTTTGGGGGATCTACTTCCTAAAAATCTATTTTTAAAAGCCCTCCACCAAAAATGAGGTATACCACGTGTTTCCGCTTTTCCTTCAGGCTTTCCTGCCACTTCTTCCCAAGCTCCCTCCTGCACACCTACCTCCCACTGACATTCCTTTCATAAATGGCACCGATAACCTCAGATCTCGTGTAAGAACTGGTGGAGGACTTTATGTAAAGGTCGCTGTAGGACTGGGCTTCTATTTGGGCACTTTTGGCCTGACTTGGGTTGAGGCGCCACCCCAGCATTCCCCACCCAAGGGAAGCGCTGCCACGGGCAGCAGGTGACCCTGTGGTGCCACCAGTACACGTGCCGAGATGCTGCAGAGAGCGTGAAGGACGCGGCCTCCACCTGGTCGCAGGCCCCAGTGCTCACAGCCCCTCCTGGGCCTCCTGATCAGCGGCTCACAGCTCTGCAGCCCCATCACCCATCCTCACCCTGTGGAGCCGCAGCCTCGTCTGCCGACTCCCCAGGTTCCGGGGCTGCGGCCTCGTCCGGGGGCTCCGTGGGCTCCGGGGCTGCAGCCTGGTCCAGGGGCTCCCCGGCTGCCATGGCGCCCCCGTGGGCAGGCGGTGGCAGCGCGGGGGGCAGCGGGCAGGAGTGGTGGGGAGGGCGGTGGCGCACCACGCGCCCGCCGCCGCGGGACCGGATGAGGACGTGGTCGTTGTAGGAGATGTGGCGCAGCAGCAAGTAGATCAGGTCCAGGAACACCCCGCGGAAGCCCGTCATGGGGAACTGGTGCGCGTCCACCATCTGGCCCTGGCCACCCTCGTGGCCCTCCTCATCCTCGTCTGCCGGCCCGATGTCCGAGTCCTCCTCGGCGCTCGCGCCCGCCTGGGCCCCGGCGAGGGCCCCCTCTGGCCTGGCCTGCTCCTGCTCTGCCCGAGGGGTGCCCCCCTGCTGCTGCTTGGCTCGAGGGGTGCTGGCCCTTGGCAGGCCCTGCTCTTGCTCAGCTTGAGGGGCGCCCGTCCCCGCCTCCCCGGCAGCAGGCACCCCCACGCCCTTGACGGGCCCAGGGTCGCTGACCACCCCGCTGCCAGCTCCCACCGCACCCACCGTGCTGTCCTGGCCACCTGGGGCCAGGTCTTCCTCCTTGGTGGCGGACATCGCACTAGGCAGTACCTCAGCTGGGTGGCGACTGGGTTGTGGCGACGACGGCGAAGATGGCGGCCACCGAGGTGGCTGCTCCTGAAGGGAGGTCGTCCACAGTGGTGGCTGAGGAGAGGAGAACGGGGCAGTGGAGGCGGCCACCCCTGAGGAGACAGTCTGTGTGGGCACCTGAGGAGGCCCTGGCGGCGACGGAAAAGGCAGGAGGCTGACCTCAGGAGCCGCCACCAAGGCTGCCCTTGAGCCGGCGGTAGGCAAGAGGGGAAAGAGACTGCTTGGCAAGTGACACCAGGCAGGGCCATGAAGGGCCAGCCAAGCCCATCCCTTGTTGCAAGCTCTAAGCTCATTTGCTGAGAATCAAAGATTGACATGCCCTGGGCCCAATGAATGATCAAGGCTCCCGTCTACACTAGCTCATTATCCTTGAGGCCTCAGGGTCTTGGGTTATCCTTTCCGCCCACACAAGTCCTGCTCTTTAATTTTATGATTGTCTGCAAAACTATACTGGCACCTTGAGGGCATGTGAATTGTGAGATCCCCAATTTCCACCTGGTGATGGCTCATGCCTGTAGGGACAGAGTCATAAAACAGTTGCATAGCTTAGTTCTCAGCAGTAGTAAAAACCTCCCAAAAGACAGGAGAAAATTGGACTATTTAACATGATTCAAGCTACTTAGAAAACAATGCATAAAGTTGAAATGGAAGCTGTCAGAACTGAATGTTGAAGTGGTAAATGACAAAAGCTGGAAGATGATAAATGAACCCTGCCAATTTGACTTCAAACCTCCAAAGAATGATAAAGACGTACTTATTTTAAAGGACCAGGTCATCTCATAAGAGCTAAGCACGAGGGGCATTAAAAGGGTAGGTTTTCTAGGATGTTTCCGAGGCAACAATCCAAGATTTCTTGTTGATTTCAAGACCTACTTAGTCAAAACCACAAGTGTAAATAATTCTGAAAATTATTAAGAAATCAACTGCTATTTTATGCTTATTCTGTAAAAAAATGTTCTGTAACACTAAAAATAATTTTAAAAATATAGCAAATGACTTATATTTCTTATATTACATTTAGGAAAAATAACATTGATAAATCCCATTAAGGTGAGTAGGCCTTTTTGTTTCTTTTTGTCAACCAAACCAAATTTCAGTGTTTTCATCCTCTGGGCCTCCTCAAGAAGAGAGTATGGTGTTGTCATCAATTATTGGTTTAAATCTGGAAGGGAATGTAGAAAATCCCCAAAATCTCAAAATCTTCATTGTAAAGAGCAAAACTGAGGCAGAACCCAATCTGAGGTCTAGAGTTGTTTTTAGCATTTGCCCCCTGAGGTGATCTAGCTACCTCACAAGGTTGCTCTGCGAATTTAATAAGCTAAAACCCACTACTGTTGAGTCAATTCCAACTCATAATGACCCCGTAGGGTTTCCTAGGCTCTAAATCTCTATAGAAGCAGACTGCCACACCTCCTACAGAGCTGCTGCTGGTTTCGAACCACTGACCTTTCTGTTAGTAGTTGAGCGCTTTAACCACTGTGCCACCAGGGCTCCTTAATAAGATAATAAGGGTGAAAACCCTTTTCATACTGTTAAATGCTATACAGATATGAGGTATTATTACATCAATAATTTTCCCTGTTATTGAATTTTTGGAGAGAAACTATTGTGTAGTCTCTCAGGCCTTCAGAGTAACCCCTATAATTTGGTTCTGGAGGAATTAGTTGTTTCAGGGTACATGGAGTTACATGCTTTCTTTCTGGCTGAGTTCATTTCATGCCATGCCATCAGTCAAGATTTGAGATAGGTAGATGGGATGCTATTTGGGATATTAACCGTTTCTTGCAAATATTTTTCCTAGTTTGGCTTTTGCCTTCTAAATTGGTTAATGTTTTTAAGTACATAAATTTTCATTTTTATGTTGCTACATCTAACAATATTTCTTTTTATGTTTTTAAGTTTTCCATTGTAAGTTTGAAAATCCTTTCTAATCCAGAGATAAATTTTATTTTGTATTTCTTCTTTTTGGAGATCTTCTGAATGTTTTCATTTACCTTTTTAAAGTAGCTTTAATCCAGTAGTCCGAATTTGTCTCCTTGTTTTCTGGGAGGTTTTTACTACAGCTGAAGACTGAGCCATGTAACTTTATTATGACTCTGACCTTACTGGCGAAAGCTATCACCAAGCGGAAATCAGGGAATTCCTCATTCACTTTGCCTACATTTGTGGGAATACCACATGTGTTGTTAAATATGTTTATATCCCAAAGTGCATGTTTTAAAACTTTATATAGATGGCCTCATAGTGTCTGTATTCTTTGCCAACTAGCTTTGTGTCTTACACCTTTCCCCTCAGAGAAGTATGTGTCTCAGATCCCTGCAAGTTTTAGTCTCCACCTCAGCCAAATCCTTGCTGTCTTGGTCAGTTTACCTGCAACATTTTCAAGCCAGTGAATGAATGTAGATCCTACCTTAGGTGATACTCAGCTTCTTTCCCTGTTGTTTTAAGTCAAAATGCAGGCCTGGGGTCAGTTGCACCATGTGGCCTCCTGGCAGGCCTAGATCATCACGATGGGGGACCACATTACTGTTCTAGAGTGTCTTTTTTTACCAGGGCTTTGAACTGATTTGTTTCAGTTCAAGGCACATGCTGAGAATTTGCATTTCCACCCCAGATATACTGACTTAGAATCTACAGTTTAACAAGATCCGCAGGTGATTCTTACGTCTAATAAATTTTGAGACCCACTGCTCTGCTAGTGGTTCTCAGAATTGGTCCCTAACCAGCAGTATTAGCATCACCTGGGAACTTGTTAGAAATGCAAATTCTCAGCAGGGGCTCGAATTAGAATGAAAAGCCCTACTTTTTTACCCTTAATATTTTAGGCTTCTAAGAAATAGTTTCATACAAGCTTCCCCAAAGGGTGAAAAGATACCATTCCTAGAAGGTAGGGTGATAAAAAGCTGCTTTGTTAACAGTTTAAGTATACTTCATGACAAATTATAAGATGAAGATTTTATTATTATCCTAGTGATTAATCACCTTACTATGACTAACCAGTAACCGACCAGTTGCTGTCAAGTCGATTCCAACTCATGGTGACCCCGTGTGTGTCAGAGTAGAACTGTGCTCCATAGGGTTTTCAATGGCTGATTTTTTTGGAGATAGATCACCAGGCCTTTCTTCTGAGGTGCCTCTGGGTGGATTCAAATCTCTGACCTTTTTGGTTAGCAGCTGAGCCCATTAAACTGTTTGCACCGTAAGTTTCTTTTAAGAGTACAAAAATTCTCAAACAAGCTAATAGTTATCAAATATGGTCCTACTGGACACCCTTTACTAGCGTACACATGGTTAAGTTAAAAGTGCATAGTTCACTAGTCAGTACAAGAGACGACATTTCTACTACACAGTAATGAAGGCACAGGTCGTACAAGCTGGCTTGAAAACTACTTCAGTTGGTTTCTCAGGAAGCTTTCTAAACAACTCTTGGTCTCTGTTAAGTATTCTGACACTTTACAGCTGTATTCTTATAACTATGACACAATTATTTCACAAGAATCAATCTATGGGAGTATGTAGGATGCTGTGGCTTCTACTGTATCCGGCACACAAGTGCCCATTGACATTCTAAGAAGAAAGCACTGGTTAAAAAACCCGTACAGAACTTACTTAGTTTCCAGGAAAAAAAAATAAGAGCCTGTAAGCAACTCATAGTTCTGTTTAGACTATTATTCAATGATACATAAGGTTCTCCTTCTACTTCTGCAACATCATCGTCTTCTTCACCTACTTCTTCCTTTATAACTAGCACTTGGAAACTTTTAGTTGTTGTCTATGATCAAAGGTTTCTCCAGGGAAGTATAATACTGATTTCAGGATTATATGATCATGGAAAAGGCACTCCAATTGAAAATATTTATCAAATTTAGCTCTGGCATTCTTATATAGCATTCTAAACTCAGACATTTCAGGATTACAAAATTAATTGAAAACAGTGTTACTGGAAGTTCTATACACTGTTCTAGAAGTTCCACTTCTCTTGCTGTTTTGCTACTTAACAGTTTACTGGGTGAAATTCTTCTTCTTCCAATGTATTTGGAACCCTATGCAGCCTGTAATCTCAAAGCTCTGAGAAGTAGGTCTCAGAATCATCTGGGCCTGACCCAAATGTACATGTTATAGACAACACCTCATTTGAAAAATATTTATTGGGTTCAAGAAGAAATTCTATTTGTAAACTCTTAGGGTCACCAGATTCTGAGAATTTACGCTGGATTATCTTTCAGGTGCTTTAAAATTGGTTCATCGTGTTTTTGAAATATGTTTCTGAGCATCTGCATATTCTCAGAGATTGTTTACCACAAATGAGGACTTACTTTAGGATAACTTCAGACTTTGTCTCCTCTTCAAGCTGTGCCTTCTTCATTTTTTCAGAAAGTGCCTCCTCAACAACTGATTGCCATTTGTACTCACTTTCTGTAGACTCATAAATTTCATTGATCAACGGAGGTTGATAGACACAAGCATGTTGTATTCTCATATCATAAAGTCTATAAACTTTGGCTTTCATTTGCATAATTTCAAACCGAACGTTTTTGAGCACCTTAAATAACTGCGTCCTGAGTGGGCTGTGCCTGTTCTTTCACCACTTCTGTCTTGAGCAACTTCATCAGCACAAGCCATTTGCCTCCCGTCAGCATGATGGCCCCTTCGTTCGTTGCAGTTCCAGCTGCCTGTGCACAGCCTCCCTAACAGAAAACACAGGCTCCTGAGCAAGGGCCGCAGGGTCTTTTACTTTCCTGGCGTTGGTGCCTTTATCTTCCTCATCATTATCAGTGAGGCCAAGTTGCTCAAGTGTCCTCAACTTGAGCACTTAAGACAGAGAGCCTAGAGGGGGTAGATAATGAAAGATGATGGTCAGTCCCTCAGTGCCATATTCTTTCTGGCACTGTCTCCTGCCACCTATTGGCCTGCATTTATCTTACTCCTCAGCATCACAGGTAATG